CTACAATCAGTTTTGAAGGCAAAAATGTATCTTAATACAACAGTTATAGATTAAATGACTCATTAGGTTGAGGGAGGCATTTGGCTTAGCTGTTAGGCTGTCTGCTGGGTAGGTGACATTCCAAATCAGAGTGCCTGGGTTTGAGTCCAAGCTTCCTGCTAACATACACCCTGGGAGGCAACAGCGATGGTTTAAGTGGCTGGGTATTTAGCACTACAGCAGAGACTCAAATCAAGCTGAGTTGCTTGTCCCTGATTTTGATATGGTTCAGCCAGGCTGCTCTGGGCATTTGGGGAATGATCCTAGGGCAGGAGCTCTGCCCTCCTCTGTCCCCAACTCTCAGATTAAAACAAAACAAAACAATATATATAGAGATGAACTAACACATACCATGCAGGACTCTTTAGCTTTTTGGGGTATAAAAGAGATCTTTCCTGAGCAAAATGAAAACACCGCAGGAAATTTAAGCAAAATTCTAAGCAAATCTTCATTTTTTACATGTGGGAGGAAGAGGGGCATCCTGTAAAGATGCATTCTCTGTAATCAGATACAGTTGAAGGTTCAAGTCACATATAGGACTTAAAAGCACTTATACTTTAAAAGAAACTATAGTAGAGACTAGAGTCCAGTTAATGTGGGTGGAACTAGTTAGAAAGGAAACTTTCTGGCCTAGCATAACCAGAAGGTTAAAAAGACTGTGAATCTTGAGGCATACTGGCCACGTCTACAGACCTTTGGATCACAGACTGAAAACAAACAAAAAAAGCTACTGAAATTTTACTGCAAATCTATGCTAAGTATGCATTACATTTCACAAATCGATTTATTTCAAGGACTAACTACCACTGCACCCACCTTTTTTTTCCCTTAAGTTCCGGCCCCAAAGTGGGTCTAGAGTCTGGAGTTTGGAAAATGCGGGAAAATGCGGGAAAATGCGAGAAAAAGAAGGGCAAAGAGAAACATCATCAACGAGAAACAAAATTTCAGGGGCTGCTACAGTTTCCTCGAGGTGGGAAGAATTCATTCCCTAAGAATGGCTTTGAGGGCGCTGTTAAACGGCAGTTCAGAGCTGGCTGTGCGGACACTAGTTAGAAGCAATAAGAGAGAAAAAGAGCCATTACTGCAACATAATTCCCATTGTAAAAATACTATGTATAATACAAAGTGAGATTGGGTCAGTGCCCAGAGGGTTTTATTATCTTCAGCACTAACATGTGCCTACCAAAATATGCTTAACAAATCACTTGTCTGAGCATTTCGGGAAAGTGTATATTCCAACATAACTCTAGAAACAACAACTTTTAAATCTGAATAGCTGTGTTCATTTCCACCACTTGATTTTAGCGTAAACACCTTGCAAGTAAGGATGGCACAGCTTCTAGAAATGACAAAATAACCGGAAAGAAAGAAATCCCACACATAGCACCTCAAACTTCACGGGATTCAGCACAGCTTTTTCCTGTCAAATGGTTATCACACAGCACTCCATGGGAGTGTAAAGCATCGGTTTCTGGACTTTGATCCACACTGTCATAAAAACTTGTTCTCACTTAATATTTCCTATTTCCAGTATATGCCAAATATTCTCAAGCCTCTGCCTAGTACAAAACAAAGTCATAAAAAGGCCGTCCTGTCACCCTTACAATATTAAATGACCCAAAACAACACCACCCACAATCGCAGGGTTGATTAGGAGCTAAGGAAAGGTAACATTATTCTCATGTGCTGTCAAGAATAACACCAGCTGCTAATGGGATTAGAATCACCAGGGCCTCGTTGGTGAGTCCTCAGTTAGCACAGCATCTCAAGCCTACAGCACTGCAAGCCGCCCAGACCCAGGAGGGCGGGAGCCTTCCAGATGGGATACATTAGCCTCATGCCAAGTTCATGCCACTGGATTATGTTCTGAATTGTTCAAAAGGCATCCTCAAACGAACACGAACAGGGTGTGATGAATAAGGAGCATCGATGCCCATGCTCCAAGGCATTTAGCACTGTATCTGAAGGTCGTTGCAGGAAGCCATGGGACACATTCGCAGTCACTGCTTCAGAGCCAAGAAAGGTTACAGGAGCATGAGGATTCAGAAACACTAGAACATTCACTCTGTTCATCAATAACTCCACATCCAGGGATAGGATAGGATACAGAATTAGGTGTGATTGTCAAGTAACAAGTCAACAACGTGGAAATGGCTTCATCAGGAAGCCTGCTCCCTAGCTCAGATGAACAATCTGAGCAAATCTACATTTACTTCAGTTCCTACCATGTGCCACTTGAGTCTTAATCCTTTAGAGCTATCCATGGGCTCCTAGAATCACAGCCAGCACCCATTCTACACTTATAAACTTAAGAGAAGCAAAAAATAATAGTAATAATAATAAAAGGGATCTGACTTTCTAGCTAAAAAAAAAAAAGCCACAAAGTTAGAACGCAGACAATAAGTTTTTACCACAATCATGTGAACCACACTGCACTCGGCGATTTGACAGGTTTATGATCAACTGATATCCAACCTCCCAGGCTATGCCACCAAACACAGAGCCAAACTGAAAACCTTTGGGTGCACACAAATTCTTAGTATGTTCCTGATACTTAAAAGTCTTAATATTTTAAGTTTTGATACCACAGGCCTACCTTACCCTCAAATATTCTACGCTTTCATTTTCCATCATATACTCATCATAAACTCTTTAACACACATGAAAATGATCTGCCTATATTGCTACCATAAACCAGCTTTTAGAGATGTCTCTGGCAGCCTCAGAGGATGGGACTTCAGAGGGAATACTCCACTTTTGAGAACTGGAGTTTTCATCTGACATTAATGTGACCAAATTAACTCTTCCTATTTGTTTCCCAGGAAGATGCTGCTGCACTTTCAAAGTTTCGGCAGGTTCTGAAAGTGAAATGTTCTTGTCTCAGAGGAGTTACTCACCAACACCCGGGGGGAAAAGAACGCTGGAAGGGACACGACTGGCCAAGCTCCTCTGGTCTTCACTTTTAGATCATCTGTCTCAAGAAGCACCCCACGAACATTAAAAATCAGCTGGATTCCAGACTCCCGCCCTACTCCCTGTGCTCTAATTCAAGGACAGCACGGGGTGGGCAGTACGGAGGGAAAGGAATGCCCCAGCAGCAGGCGTCTCCTGACTGCTGTGGGTCCTCAGCTGGTTTCAGGGTCCTACCAACGTTCTTTCCAGGGTTATCTGCGCTGCCACCCCCCTGCAGACTTGGGATTTTGGAGGAAGAAAATGAAAGTTGGGAGGACTTTGAAAAAGTCATCATTTATGTCTTGACGCCTCTGCCTTTATCAAAAAGATCTTGGAACTAATGAAATTCATACCAACTCTGAACCTTCCTCAGGAAAAACAGCACTGAGGGAGGGAAGCAGGGGGCAGGCGAAGATCCCCAAGTAAAGCTTTCTGAAAGATTAAAGATTAAAAAAAAAAACAACCTCACAGTTCGTTTGCAAGTGGGCATCACCGTGCCAATGTGACCAGTGTTCCCGCCACTACCATTCCACACCAGGTCCCTACCGCGCCCCCCAGGGAAAGTAGAAAGCGGGTGATGCTGCAGAAAGTACCTTGTTTTGTCTCCAAAGGGCAACATAGCAAACGTAGAAAGTTCGTTTTCGAACTCCGCAGATCCCGGAGTCTAGAGGGCTCGGGGGAGGGAGCAGACGACGTGGCCAGGTGAGGTCCGTGTCACCGAGCCCACTCCCTTCCAGCCCCGGTGGCCGCCCGGGTCTCCACGAGCCGCGCCGCCCCCTGGCGGGGAGCGCTCGGCAGAGGTGCGGCCGTGCGCCGGCGGGTGGGAGCCCGGCACCCAGCCCCGGGCTGCTCCTCCACCATCACAGCCTCCGCGTGCTTCGCTCTCCTGGCCCTGGCGGCCAGCACCCGCTGCCCTACGGCCGCCGCCCCCAGTCGGCCGGGGCGGGCGGGACTCGAGCCCCGCTCTCCAAAGAGCTGGGACCTGGAACCAGCCGCGGTGCGCGCGCTGGCCTGCCGCGCCCCCGGCTTCGCCCCGGCTGCTGAGGCTTCCCGGGACCCCGGCGCCGCGCACTCTGCGCGCTCCACCCTTCTGGTCCCTGGGCTCCGGACTCAGTTCCTCCCCAACTCTCCCGAGAGCGATTCCCACGCACTCCTCGATTGCTCGCCGCGCAGCCGCGCTCCCAGGGGCCAGGCTCCGTGCTCCCCGCCCTTCCGCAGCGGCAGTCCGGGCGCTGGGCTACCGACCCGGGGGAAAGCTGGCTTGCGGGGTGTCCGCGCTTAGCCCGGGACCTGCCAGCCTCCCAGAGCTACGCTCCTAGAGGCTCCTCTCCGGCGCCCTTTGTGTGCTCTGATGAGAGGCTTCCTTTTGAGAGCGAGAGAGCGAGGCGAGAGAGAGAGAGAGAGAGAGAGAGAGAGAGAGAGAGAGAAAGCGCGGGACAGGGGACTGGGAGGGGTGTGGGGGAAAGGCGATCACACTCACTTTGGGAGGGCTCCGGCATGTTGCTGCCTAGGGCTCCCTCGAGGTCTCGTCCCTACCCTGGGCTTCCCCGCCCCGCCAGGGCCAGGGCGTGGGGCACGGGGGAGGAGCGGAGCGGCTGGGACCGAGTTGTAAAGGGTGCTTCCGGAGCTGCTGCAGAAAAGGGGCTTAGCCAGTGTTCTGGTTTTGCCAAGAGGACTTATGGAAAACAAGAGGGAAGGCCGAGAGCGGATGTGGGGACTCCGAGGGGCGAGGGGGTGGCGGTGGGAGGAGGGGTTGGGTACAGGCACTTTGGTATTTGAACTTTACGGGTAAGTTGGATGGAAACCGACGCCTGGACTTTTCGATTGTGCTTATTTAAAGCCGAGGTCTCTTAGCCAGTAAGAGGACCGAGGACTTATTTCAAAAAGCAAAGGACCGGGGAGCTTGAGTTAAGGGTGACCGAAAGGGAAAATTCAAGAGGGAGAGAGAGAGGTCAGGCTCAGGTCACGATCCGCGCACAGGCTGCGTCTTCCGAGGATCCTCTTCTTACCTGGTGGCTTTTCTAACAAAGTAAGAGAAGGTAAAATCCCAGTGGTCGTCCAGCCACGCTTCCACCGAGTCCTGGTCTCGCGGCTGCTGCTGCTGCTGCGGCCGCCCGGAGCTGGGGCCGGCCCGTTCCATGGTCTGCGCCGCGCGTCTCCGCGGGCTCGCCACGGCTGGAGGCGCGCTCGGGCCGGGGTCCCTTCCGTCGGAGGCTCCGGCCTTGAGAGAGCCTCTCCCCCTTGGCCGGACTGGGGTCGGGCCGGCTTTGAGGGAATCTGCCCCGGCTCTGGGCCAGCCTTCTGCCCCGCCCCGCCCCTCCCTCCCCGGTCCTCAGGGCTCCCAGGTGTGGCGGGCGGGGCCGGGTGTCGGCGCTCCGCGTCCTCGCCGGGGTCTGACAGAGACGCGCTCTCGCAGGTTCCCCCAGAGTCTTGGTTCTCTGGCGGCCACCAAGGGGCCCCGCGGGCTGTCCGGAAGCCTAGTGGCCGCGACTAGAAGGAAGGCGAGCGGCCGCTGGGGTGCGCTGTGAGCCGGGCCGGCTCCTGGGGAGCGCGCAGAGGTGACAGTTGGGTGTGTTCGCGCGCTCGCCAGGCTAGGGGAGGCGAGGGTTGCCATTTAGGGGACCCTTTCCAAGATTTCCCCGGAAAACGAAAGCAGGTGCTCCTCTGGGTTCTTTCCCCCGGCCCTGGAAACGAGAGAGGGTGGTCCCAATCGCTTGCTTTCCTGTAGCCCAAGACTTGGAGCAGGGGGGAACCGGCACCCACCTCATTCTGAAACCCTCCGGCCAGAAGCCTCACCCAGGTGGGGGTGGGGGGAAGGGGGCGAGTCTTAGGTGGCCGACCCTAGTGATAACACCAATAAGTATGAATGAAGTGACTTTAGCGGTGGTTGCACTTGGCACCTCCTTTTCATAAAAGGAGGGAGATTTTCTGGAGAAATAAGGGCACTTCTGTACAACAAAGTGAAGTTGAAAACACGGGAATTAACAGCTGAAAGGGCCACTCTTCCCACTTAATATGAATAGTCCCTACTCATGCTTAAAAAAAATGATGTCTTCCTTTCTTTGTCCTCATCCTCATTTCCCTGTCACACATCAAGTTTTAATACTGGGTTTTGCAATGACCTAATTTTTTGGGCAGAATTAATTTGGGAGTTTTATGTTGCACAATGTGTGAGTGACACCATTAGTAGTGATAAACTGCAAATGTTTCAGCTGACATACTTTTACAACACCCCCCCCCCCCCGCCAAGTGTTCTTGACATGAGTTTAAGGGACTTACTACTGGCTACATGCATCCACACAACTCAATGAATGATATGGAAAGTTTAAAAAGAAATGTCATCCAGTCCCTTATTGCGTGGCCTGCCTTTCTTGCAACTGAATAATTGTCCCTTTAGGATTACCGTTCCTCTGAAACCTTACTGTTGCCTGAAAGTTCCTACACCCAATTAAACGCAAGCAAAGCAGTAGGATGTGGGGGGAAATGTGTGTGATACATTAAATCAGATTGTTGAATGACGGCTGTAGCCTGTTAGTGACGATGATACTGATTGCAGTGCCCATTAAATGGACTTCCTTCTTAGTGTTCATTTTCCTCCCTGTGGAAATGTATGCTGTCCTCCAAATAGGAGGTCAGTTATGATTTAAAACTGTGCTTACCTATGAGGCAGGAAATGAATGTCGTGCTTGGATTCTTTGCCTTGTTGGTTGTACTGATTAAATAAACGTGAGGCCTGTGTTGTGGTACAGGTGGTTAAGCCACTGCCTGTGAACGCAGCTGCTTCACTTCCAATCCAGCTCCCTACTGACATGCTTGGGACAGCAATAGAAGGTGGTCCCAGGGCTTGGGTCCCTGCACCTTCGTGGGATACAGGGATGAAGTTCATGGCTCTTCACCATGGCCTGGCCCAGTGCGGCCATGGTTGTTTTCTGGGGAGTGAAGCCGTGGGTGGAAAATCTCTCTCTGGAACTCTGCCTTTCAAATAAGTAGGTAAATCTTAATAAATAAATAACCAATGCAATGTTTCAACGTGTCCTCTCCAAATTGGTACTGAATGTAATGGTACAAAAAAAGGTGGCACCTTTAGGAAGTGATGGGGCTGAGAGGGCGCAGACCTCATGCATGGGTTAGTGTCTTCTCCAAGGGTTTAGAGGACAAGTTCCTCCTTCTGCTCTTTCCACTCTGTGAAGATGCTGGTGCCTCTGCAGGACATGATGCAGCAACAAGGTATGGGAAGCATGAGGTGGCCTTCCCTAGACACCTTATCTGCAACTACCGAGAAACTGCCGCTTGCACAGCAACCCGCGGCTTCTCCCAGCAGTGACTTCCCATTCTGTATGCAATAGAGGGCAGGATGGGGGCTGTGGTAAAGACGGGTTATTTACGGACCAGATCACAGGAATTGGGATGCAGGAGTGTTTCAAACTTTTCTAGTCTCTGAGACACACTGATAAAATTTGTAATAATAATTTCTTCTAACATGAATGTGTGTACTCTAATATCAGCGTATTTTAACTGCCCTACTCTGACCTTTTATTTTCCAACTCTATTTTATTCTTATCCCCAGTTTGTTTCTTATGAGTATGTTTTAACTTGATCTGGTGGATTTCACTAAGCAATTCTAATATTGTCTTGGAATGAAATAAAGATAAGTAAGTGGTAACCATTGCCAGAAAATGTTTCTAGTGTTATTGTTAATAAACAGGTGTGCAACCACTTCACACCAAGAACACCAATGGGTTCTAATGCCCTAGCAGCAGAGTAAAATATCAACACGAATATAGCTTAGAAGATTCGGCATTGTTCAGTGCTTGTCCATCTCTCCTGTTGGAGGTTTGGTCATTTCACTAGAAAAAAATCCATAATTAATGAAATTCTTTTTCCACCAAGAGATCACACCATCTAGTTTCTTTGGGACAAATAATCCTATAACATGTAAGATAAAATATTACTGAAGTGTACCAAACAACTTTGTGGTAATAAATTCAACAATTTAAGTTAAATATACAAATCATTATAAAAAACAGGAAACCCAAACTGGGATAATATGAAATTAGAAATTCTATTGAATTCATTAAAATGTTGAATTTTTAAATTATAAAACATCTTCCTAAAAGGAAAAGTTCAGGTTCAAAGAGCTTCATTGGTGAAGATGGTTAAATATTTCAGGGAGAAGTCATCCCATCAACATTACATGTAACTTTCATTAAGTCAGAAAAACTCCAGTTATGAAATATAATGGAGATATTAGACAAAACAACATTCCTCATGGTATACGATATCTAATAAATTATTAATGCTGAGTCCAGCAGCAGGCAAAGGAACATTTTAAATATATCTAGTGACTAGATGTGCTTTACTTCACTTCCATATTATTGCTTTGACTTGAAAATTGTAATATGACACATCATGCTAATCAAATACACAAATGCTCTTTTCAACTGATGCAGAAAAACCAATTATCTGACAAGATTCCATACCACTCATGATTTCAAAAATCTTTAGCAAAGAGATAGAAGCATACTTTACAATTTGATAAAAAGGCATATTTTTAACAGATTTATTTGTCTTAAAGGCAGAGTTGCAGAGAGGGAAGGAGGGGAAGAAGAGAAGGAAGGAGAGAGGGAGAGAGAGCGAGGGAGAGAGAGAGGGAGAGAGAGAGTGTGCTTTTCCATCCATTGGTTAAGTGGCCAAATGGGGCAACAACCAATCTGGGACTTGTGCTAGGTCGCCTCTGGGAAGCTGGCATATGAGGCAGTGGCTTAATCTATTAACTAACAACACTGGCTCCAGAGTTAACAGTCCTGAAATTACTTTCTTTGTATCTAAGCTTAAGAAAAATGATCAATTATATTTACATGCACCATGAAATCTAGGTTTTTTACTGTTGGAAAAGAAAATTACACATATGAGAAGGTGGCAAATAGGAGTTACATTGTGATATTGATATAGAATTTTAAACACTTATAAATTAAAATTTTATAAATATGTAATTTCAAATATGTATGTGGAATAGTCACATGATAAGGAAATACAGGCAATTTCTAAGAGCTGAGGGCAAACTTTAGCCAACAATTTACAAGGAGCACCAGCCAGCAAGAAATTGAATCCCCTACACTTAGAACCAGGAAGAATTAAATTATGCCAATAGCTTGAGTAACCTCAGAAGTTGGTATTTCCCAAGTCAAGCCTCAGAGAATATCACTATTCCTGACAATACCTTGAGTATGGAAGTCTGATATTGGTACAGAAACAGAGAAGAAGATCAATGGAACAGAATAGATACACAAGAATGGTGCCCACACAGGTATAGCCAACTATTCTTTGACAAGAAAACTGGAAATAATTGAAGGAGAAATTTTGGTGTCTTCAACAGTTGTCCAACAATTGGATAGCAACCTGCAGAGGTAATAAGTAAGACCCCTGCATGTCACATTATGCAAAAATCAGTTCTAAGTGGATCAAGGAGCTAAATCTGCACCAAGAAACCGAGAAACTATTGGATGAAAACATAGAAAGCACTCTCCAAGATATAGGAATGGGGAAAGACTTCTTAGAAAAGACACCAAAAGTACAGGTAGTCAAAGCCTAAATAAACAAATGGGACTACATCAAACCAAAAAGTTTCTGTACAGCAAAGGAAACAATCACCAAAGTGAAGAAGCAACCAACAGAATGGGAGAAAATCTCTTCACACTATACAACAGATGTGGGTCTAATATCCAGGGTTTACAAAGAGCTTCAGAAACCCAGTGACAGCAAAACAAACAACCTTGTGAAGAAATGGGTGAAGGAAAATAAAAGGTATTTTTCAAAAGAATAAATTTAAATGGTTACTAGACATTTGAGAAAATGCTCAGGCTCCCTAGAGTCAGGGAGATACCAAATGAAAACCACATTGTGAGACTGGCCTACAATCAGAACTCTACTAACAAAACCTGCTGATAATGAATGTGGGAAGAAAGGTACCCTCCTTCACTGTCAGTGGGAGTGTAGACTAATACAACTACTATAGAAGTCAGTATGGAGAGGGCTAAGAGAACTGAAAATTGACCTACTGTATGTCCCAGCTATCCCACTGCTGGGAATACAGTCAAAGGAAAGAATGGCATATGAGAAAGGGATCTGTAATCCTATATTTACAGCAATGCAATCTACAATAGCAAAGACATGGAAACAGTCCAGATGCCCATCAAAAGAGGA